GATTAACCGGCTTTGCATTAGTTCCTATGGGAAATGCCCCTCAACCTAAGAACCAAAAACAGCCGGAACAGATTAATTGGTTTTCAGTGCATTCCTATGGGAAATGCTGATTCGACTTACAAACTTTTCGACTTACAAGCTTCCTTCCAATACAGATTAAGTTTGTAAGTTGAGACCCCACTATATTTAGTATTTAAACAATTAGTATTAAAGGCCTTCATGTAGCTCAGCTGCCACCTGGTTCAATACCCAAACTCATTTTTTTTTAAAAAAATAATTCCAAACAAACCCATGTGGTCATTAAACCACACAAATTTAGAAGACAGTGATACTTTCACCAGACCCCTAAAGTTCCAACAATGAATGCCAGCATTTGCAGATCAAAAAATTCTCCATCAGGCACACGCCAGTGACTTCTGAGTAGTGGAGAATTTTTTTTACAAAAACGGTGTCCGAAATCCATGGCAAGAATCGGCAGGCCACCACCTCTTAAGGTCCGCTTAAAGCTAGTCCAGGGCCTTCGTGAAGGTGGGTGGGTGTGGGTTAATGCTTCCCCCTCAGGCTTAGGTGGTTCACAATTTCCCCTCAATACCCAGCAGGAATGTAGCCAAGTCCAAATCTCAAGTCTTTGGTGCCAAAGTCCTCAGACCAAGTTTCTCTTCAAAGCTTCCCCCCCCCAAGAAAAAAGGGAGGGGTGGGTGGGTTTTTGCCATCAAGACGGACTCCAGCGCCACATTTTCCCAATCCAAGCCGGCAGTGGAAATCTGTGGCTTCCCCAAAGTCAGTGGGTAGATGTGATGTCGGGTGGGTGGTGGGTGGGAGGAGGAAGACCCTGATGGCTGTTGTGAGTGCCACACGCTTCACAGTTCAGTCTGATACAGTGGGGTCTTGACTTGAGAACTTAATCCGTATTGGAAGGCGGTTCTCAAGCCAAAAAGTCTGTAAGTCAAGTCTCCATTGACCTGCAGTGCATTGAAAACCGATTAATCCCGTAACAGGCCGTTTTTGTTCCATTTTGGTTTTTTTCTGGTCTGTAAGTCAAATCTCAGTCTGCAAGTCAAACCTAAATTTTGCGGCCAGAGAAGTCTGTAACTCAAAAAGTCTGTAAGTCAAGCCGTCTGTAAGTCAAGGGTCCACTGTATTTATTCCTCCAACCAGGTGACATTAGAATGACTGGCAAGGAAAGCCGGTGCCCGGGAGGGACAACGTGGCACCCCCTGGCTCAGTCAATGGCAGGCTTTGGTCCTCCGTGAGATGGACAGTTTGCAGGGCAACCCCTTTGGCCCTCTCTGTCTCTCCTGGAATCTAAACCTCCGCGGGCTCAAGGGATGTGTTTTATTCCATCCCTGGTTCATGAAGGCACAACTCTAAAAGGCACCTTATTTGTACATGTTTACTGAGCAAAAAAAAAAGTCACCTAACCCAGAACTTGGTTTTTAAAGTAAGCAATTGATTTTTGAGGCCCTCGTCTGTGGTCATGGCTTTGTTCATATATTTAAAATATTTTTTTATCTTGCTTTTCTTCTTAAGAAGGAGCGAAGGTGGCTTACATCATTAAAATACAGTATTTGAGCTAACAACAGTGAGTATAGGATACGAAATGGATCACTGCATGCAGTTCAAAAAAACGAAAACAAAACATGAGCCACACCAAAAAACATGTTCAAAGCAGTAAAGCACAACAATCTATTCAAACCCCATCTCCTCCGCCCCCCCCCCCAGTCACTGAGACAAAGCCTGCCTGAAGAGAAAGCTCTTGGCCTGCCTGCAGAAGGACAGCAAAAATGGGGCCAGCCTGGCCTCCTGTGGGAGGGAGTTCCAGAGTCTCTGGGAGCAGCCACAGGGAAGAAGACTGTCTCCTGTATCCCCATCAGAGGCACCTGTGAATGTGGCGGGACCAAGAGGAAGCCCTCTCCTAGTGATCTTAATACTAGAGTACTTCTGTACTGATGTGTTCTCAAAGGCTGTCACGGCTGGGATCTGATGGCTGCTGTGGGTTTTTCGGGCTGTTTGATCATGTAACGGAGGCCCTCTGAAGATGCCCATGGCCACAGAGACTAGCGAAACTTTTGGAAGAAAAACCTCCAGAAGACGGCCAAACAGCCCGGGAAACCCACAGGAACCATATTTTCGTAATACTCCAGGGGTTGGGTATTTCTCTGTGGTCAGAGGTCAGTACCAAAAGATCCAGCGCACAAGGGCTTTGGACTGCAGAGATGAGTAAACGGCTTACATCCATGCAACTGGAGTTTACTTCATGACAAGAGACAGTGTTCCTGAAAGGCCCTTGTGCAGGGCGGCTGGTTATAAATAGCCAAGCCCCGGTTCGGACTGGGCAGGCAAGGGGGTTCCCGTGGTTTCTATAAAAAGCAACCCCTCTTCCTCGTCACCTGTCATGTCAACAACATCTTGTGACAGAGCGAGGCTGTCCAGACCCAAGAGGCGGCTGGAGGAAGCCAGACGGGCCAAGAAGCCGCCAGCAGCTCCAACCACCTTCTGCCCGATGGCGGTGAGAGAGAGCCAGGTAAGGAGCGCAGGTTTCTTGCACCCAGTTTTCAGAACACTTGGATCTCTAACGCCTTCCTCTCGATTAGCCTTGCAGTGGCTCCAGGCTCATTTGGAGCAGATGGTGGTCGATGAAGGACCTGGTCACAGACCCTCTCCTACCAATAATGCTCCGAGGAGGAGGAGGAGGAAAGACTGAAAGAACTGGGCCTCTAGCCTCAAGGCTAGAGCAAAGAAGACGGACGGGAGACAGGAGAGCACTTTCCAAATCCTTGAAAGGCTTTCCTACAGAGGAGGAGGAGCAGGATCTCTTCTCGATCATCACAGAGTGCAGGACATAAAATAATGGGCTCCATGTCTGAGAAAGCCAGATTTCAGTTGAATATCAGGAAAAACGTCTTAACTCTTAGAGCAGTATGACAATGGAACCCATAACCTTGGGAGGTGGTGAGTGCTCGAATTTTGGGGGCATTCAAGAGGAAAATAAACAATTTTATATCAGATCAGCTTTGATTTGTGTTCCTGCATTGAGCATGGGGGTTGGAGTTGATGGCCTTAGAAGCCCTTTCTGATTGCGTCTATAGTTTGGCGCTTGTCTCAATAATACTTTTGCTACTTTGTAGACTCTAAGACTGATAACTGAAATTATTTACAGCTTAATAGTCCTATTTCTTTACTAACAAACTACTCTCACCTTGTCCATTATCTGTCTCCCCACCTGGTTGTGGGGCCATGTATAAATACCACCGTCGCATAGCCTCCTTCTTACATCGGAAGAAGGGGACCTGGCCCAAGAAAGCTCACTTTAGAGAACAGCCGTGAGCCTTCGAGGTGCCACAGCAGCTGTTCCCCTCCTGGCTTGGCTTGGCTTTCTTTTGGCCAAATTAGCCTGAAGGAGAGCCTGCTCTGTGTATAAACCCCCAAGTCGGTTTTTATAGTGTCAAGGCTCAGCAATAAAACATATATGAATGGGGGGGGGAGAGAAAACTTTAACGGCTTGTCTTGTGCTTAAAGATGCAGCCAATGAAGAGGCCCCTCCTGGCGGCGCTCCTTCTGCTGTGCCTGATGGGCATCTTCCCAGCTGGCCCTCAGGTAGGAAGGGGGCGCAGGGAGAGGAGAGGAAGGCTGGAGGCTGCCACAGAGGCCCCAGGGGCTTCCTCTGACAAGGGTGGGGCCCCCGTTCCTGCCATGTCCTGTTCGGAGCTTGCAAAGGCTCCTCGCTGGGGTTTCCGCTCCCAGGGCCCTGTGCTGCCGGTGAGGCTGGAGAGGAGCCGGTCCTGGGGGTGGTCACACGGCCAAGCCCTGATCCTGCTTCTCCTGAGGGCTCTCCTGAGGCTTCCAGGAAGACCCAGCAGCTGGGCTGCCTTTGCGCATCCCTCAGTTGCACCCCCCCATGGCCCCGGCCGATCACCTGTACACAGAAGCCTGCCTGGAGCCTCTTGCGAATCTTGCTTGATTGTTACATGCATGCACTGCCTTGTCTATCATCCTCCATCCCTTCTTTCCCCCTTGACTGCTTCAGGTCTCCAGTTTCCCGGTCCAGAGAAGGGACCTCTTGCCCATCAAAGAGTTCTCCCTTGACATGGCCCCGAACTCTTTCGATGACCAGTACAAGGGCTGCGTGGAGATGATGGAGGCCGAGCTGGAGGAGCTGAACCGCACGGAGTTTGCCACCAACCGCGTCTACGCCGAGGCCTGGGAAGAAGCCGCCTCCCGGTGGGAGGAGAGAAAATCTTCCATCCTGGTGCCCAGCGGGCTCAAGCCGGAGCACGCCATTGCGATCATGGCCTACACCGTCCAAGGGGGATTCCACAGGGACTTCAACAGGGCCGTGAGGGAAGCCGGGCGCACCAGAGACACGTACCTCAACGGCTTCCACTTCAAGACGTTTCACTTTCTCCTGACCAGAGCCCTCCACCTGCTCGGGACCACCTCCACTCCGAGGTGCCAGAAGGTGTATCGGGGGGTCAGGAGCGTCCGCTTTGTCTCCGAACACCTCAAGCATGTCCGTTTCGGACACTTCACGTCATCATCGCTGAAGAATCAGAGCGCCTTGCAGTTTGGCACGGACACATTCTTCACCATCGAGACCTGCCACGGGGTCAACATCAAGAACTTCTCTTTCTTCCCCGGGGAGGAGGAAGTTCTCATCCCCCCCTTTGAGAAGTTCAAGGTGGCCAATTTCACGAAGGCTCCAGAGACGACCTTCATCCAGCTTGTCTCGGTGGAAGATTCCAGCCTCTATAACTGTGTGTTTGTGAAAGGTAACAGCAGCCAGAGCCCCCTAGATTTCTTCCCCTTGGGGAGCAGTGGGGTGGAAACTGGCCGCACAGGAATCTGCTGAGCTACAAGGGTCTCTGCAGATCCTTCGACACCATTGAGACCATTGCAGGTACCCTGGAGGCAGGCGCGGGCAGAACAAAATAGCCAAGGTGGTTCTGGGGACTCCTGGTATATAGAGCGGGGGGATCCGCTCTGGGTTTTGGTAGGAAATTGACAGCAGCTCTCCAAGATGCTGAACCATTCATTGGAGGAGGGGCAGAGGAGAGTACAATTCAGATAAAAACCTAGACTGGATTCAGTGGTCGATTCCCAAATGTCACTAACATTTGGTGGAATAGTAAGGGTGGCCAGCATCTGGCGCAAGGCAAGTCTTGCGCCTCCTCGAGGTTGCCACGCGAAGTGGCCGGGGAGGAGGCTTGTCCTCCCACTTTGTTTACACTGGAGGAGGGAGGCCAGGCTGCTCTGGACCATCTCTTCCCAGGAGGTGAGTTCGGGGAATTGGAGAGAGCGAATTGGAGCCATAGCAGGAAGAGGGGAGGCAGGACGGGTGCGCTTTCTCACCCCCTGTGGACTCTGGCTCTCCCGATGGCTCCGTGTCAGTGCTGAAACTTGGCACCCCTAAGAATTTTGCACCCGGGGCACCTGCCGGGATGGACCCGCCTGGACTGCCTTCCCTGCGCCAGCCGTTGTCACGGAGAGGTCAAGGGAGCACAACCAGCTGTGGGTGGAGAGCAGAAGAGAAACCACCCAGAGACTATGAGGGGAAATTGTTTCTAGTCAGAAAAAGGGAGCCCTCTCTGAGGGAGTGGAGGAGAGCAGCGCTCTGTCTAGTGCGTCTCTGGGGAAATGGGGCCTTTGGGGAAGGAGCCCAGCTGGGTGGGAGAAGGCCTGAGGTCCCGGCCTGGGAGAAATGGGGCAGGGGACCTGGGGGGACCTCCGTGCCTTGGCCTCCTCCTCTCCCCCCTCCCCTTCTGTGGTGCCTGACATGGACGAACCGCTGTGAACCACACCGGGTGGACGTCTGCCCGTGAGGCAGTTCTGTGCACCCTTGCTCAGACATCAGACCTGCCTTTCGGCACACCTCACTCAACAAGCAATAAATAGGTGAGTGGTAGGACTCTGGTATCACAGCAGCAGCAACATGCGCTTGGCACATGGTGCCCGGAGAATCCCCTGGACCAAAAAGGCAACAGGGAGGGCCAGCCTCAGTGGCTTTCATGGGGACCAAGCCACTTCTGGGAGACTGGGGTTGTCCGCGGCCGGTGGCCAGGCTGGCTCAATATCAACCCCACCCTCGCCCTCGCCCCATCCCTGGGTCAGAGGCTCTGATCCAACTCTGTAGAGAGACAGAAGGTGCGAACCCCCCGCTCAAGTTCTGTCCTTGGGCTTCCAGGAGGGAACGGATGGGCCTCTTTGGTGAGAATGAAATGCTGGACATGGATGGGGGGGGCAGCTCGATCAGCTCCAGCAGGGCTCTTATTTGGCTCCTTTGGGGTTGGAAAAGTGTCCTGTATTTTTAAGCCCCCCCCCCAACTCACGTCAAGCCAGAGGGACATTTCCAGGCTGCCTGTTATTCTGCGAGGCTCAGCCTCCGATCCAAAGCCACCCTGACAGAGTCTGCGTCAAAAGTAAGTTGGGCATCCGGAGTCCTGGGCAGGAGCCCTCGGACGATTTCTCTCCCCTGTCCCCAGGCAGGCACGTGGGATGATGCCCAGACCATGCTGTCCCTCCCAGCTAGTCATGATGACTGGAACATGGGGGCTGGGAGGGGGGAGCAGAAAGGGAAGACTGGCTCCTGACGGTTTTTTCTTTTGTCTTTGCAGAGAAAAGGTGCAAGACTCAACGATGCAAATTCACTACAGGTGAAACATTTACTCTTATTAATCATCTCCCCACCCCGCCCCACCCAAGCTTCAAATAATTCACTTTCCCAGACTACAGTTTCTGATCCCACCCATCATGCTTCTCAGCTGTGCTCTTTTTCCCCCTTCTTGTAATGCAAAATAACGTTTCTGAAACCCCTCTTTGCCTTTGACCTCCGCAGGGGCCGGTCCGAGCCATTTGTCGGCTACGAAACAGACGCCTTTCCTGCTCTGGGGAGCCCTCCTGGCAGTGGTGGCCTTCAACAGTCTAGGAGCGCCCTGACCTCCGCTCCCCAAGCTCCACCACTGAGATGGGGTTAAGAGGAAGCCTCGGCACTGCCCTGAGATAACACCGGCCAAGGAGGCATTCTCTGCCCCAAAGCATGCGTCTGGGGGCAGCCTCACGGCCTGTTTTTCTTACCCATTTGCTGTTCAGTAGGAACTTAGGTGAACGCATGTGTCTGTCTGTCTGTCTGTCTGTCTGTCTGTCTGTCTGTCTGTCTGTCTGTCTGTCTGTCTGTCTGTCTGTCTGTCCAGGAGTGGCACTCAGAGGATCTACTGATGAGGAAGGGAGAAAAAGGCAAAGAGAGCACTCCGCTGGCATTTTATGAAACAAAGGTTTTTGAGACCACAAAGTGCAAAACGGCAAAAGATGTCATCATACAACGCTTGACAACCGTCCCGTTCACAGGACGGAAAGCCCTCATCCACCCCAAGCAGACACCTTGTTTTCTTCTTAGAGATTTTATTTACAAGGGAAGGAACGAGGCACAAAGGCAGAGAAACGAAAATGAGACTCCGAAGAAGAAACCTGCAAAAGTCTGAGGTGCGTGGCTGATTTTAAATCACAGCGCAGGACCCTATCGAGACCGAATGAGCCTTCCTTCGTTTCAAGGCCAGCACCAGCAGCTCTTCGTTTCTTCCAGGATTTTGGACCTGCAAGAGGAAGACGGCAGCTTTGGGGAAACCCGGCACCAAGCGACAACGGAAAAGGGAGTGAAAGAAAGCTGGACAGCCGCTCTTGCCTGGAAAAAGCCCAGACCAAAGCAGGGAGGCTGTGGAAGTCGTTGGACACTTCCCGATGTGGGCCAAGAGGCTCAACCTGGACCTGGCGAAGGGAAGGGAGCTGCTTCCAGTGGGCTCAGGGACCCACCTGGTGCCTGCCTGCCTGGCGCTGTCCTTGCCATGGCAAGAGCTGTTTTTCTGCAGTTCAGCCCTGCCCCTGGGTCCAGCCGGGTTCCTTGATGCCCCTCCTTTCTGCCTCAAGGGGTTCGTGGCCCCTGCGTCTCAAGGGATGGGTCCCCCTCCCTCCCCTTCTGCATGGCCACCTTCTGGGACCTTTCTATGGGTCCCCAGAACCTTGCGTGACTCCCTTGGCAGGGAATCGAGGGGCTGACTTTTTGTGCTGACTGTCCTGCTATGCACAGTCCTAAGCTATGCTTAGGTCCTAAGCTATGCACCGTCCTAAGCTATGTCCTAAGCTTTGCACCTCTGTTTCCAGCAGACGTCGAACTTGTCTCCTGTGTCATGCCTTCAACATTATTATGTTTTGAACGGCTATTTAGGGTTTGTGCTTTGTAAATATATTACTGATTTTAAATGGTCGTCCACCGTGCCTGGTTTTGCTCCATAAACCTCCTTGAGCGCCTCCCTTTCTGCAGGTGGAAAAGTGGGATGGGACTCAGACCGAAGAAAGAGAAAGCCGGTTTCCCCATTCTTTTGCCTCCCCCAAAAAAGGCCTGGCCAGTCAGGAGGGCTTCGCTGGGCAGAGGTACCCACCGATGCTTGCATCTCAAAGGGGCCCTCATCTCCTCCCCGTTCTGAGGGCTGAAGCTTTGCACAAGAGAAGTCTCGTCTTTTTCTTCCAGGCGCCAAGAACAGGCATCCTCTCTCCCGGCCGATTTCCTTCTGCCTCTCTGCCTACTTAAAGTCGCTGCCGCTCCTGCCGAGAGCCAGCAGGTCCCACATTCAAAGGACTCCACTAAAAAGGGGAGCCATGAGGACACGGAGATGGACAGAAAGCCATTTCCTCTCCAGGGATGGGGAACTTGCGATTCGCAATTCGCTGCCCGCTCTTGAGTCTGACTTGCATTGCATCTGTGACTCGACTCGAACCCAACTCAGAGGGCTTGGTGGCAGGGAGGGCACTGCACCGTCCTAGCGTGAGCCAGTCATAAGAGAGAGATCTGGGAGTGGCAAGACATTCTGGTACAAGCAGGCATGTTTGACCATACCACAGACTCAGCAGAGGTTGGAACAAGCACTTCCCACCTCCCAGGGAAGCTCTAAAGAAGGCTCGCCAGTGTCAAAAGCAGTTGAAATGGGTCGTGTTCTGCGGGGGAGAAAAGCAGGAGCCGAAGGGGAAGCCCAAGGAATGGCGCGACCGAGTGGAAAGGGGTTGGTTCCTCCAGGAGGCTTTAGAAAGGGGACAGACGAAGCCACTGAGGAAACGGATCCTCCAGGATCGCACACTGTCCCTGCAGGACCCAACGGCTGCATCAGAGCAAGCCTGGGTTCTCACTAGGCCCTGAGGCGAATGAGGGGAGGCTGCCCGACTCCGGGCAGACGAAAAGACGAAAAGGCAAGAATCCTGGGAGCCACGGATGGCGGCAAGAACAGAGGAAGAAGACCAGGCACGCGGGGGCGGGGGGTTTCGCTCAGCGAGGGCTTTGAGTCTGCACGACCGGGTCGGGGCTGTGGTGCATGTGGGACCTTTCGGAGGTCACCCACTCATTCCTAAGGTCACCGTTCCATCGGAAGTGGTTGGACTTTGCGGAATGAATACAGGATTCCAAATACAGGATTGGGGGGGGTCCTTTTGGGGGGGAGAGGCTTGAGGTGCAGAAGAGACTCTCCATGCCAGAAGGTCAGCGGCTGACTGGCTCGGCCTTGTTTTGGACCGGATCCTCTCCTGGGGAGCTCCTTCGTGGGAACCTGTGGGTCGGTTGCTGAGAGGCAGGATGAATCCCTGCAGTAAGATGGGGCTCTTGATCAGCCCTGAGACGACCCCTGAGGAGCTTCACCCTGGCACTGAGCCCTACTTTGGAGGGGGTGCGTGTGTCCATCTCACTGTCTTCCCCATCCACACACCCCAAATCTGCTACCTGGAGAACTGCTCCCTCCTTAACAACCAGCTCCAGGGAGGGGTTGTGTCCAGCTGCTGGCTTTCCTTGCCCCTCTGCAGGCCCCACAGGGCAAGGACCCACAGAGGGAGTCCTTCCCATCGGCCGGCTGGCTGCTGAGGGGATCCCTGAGCTGGTTTTGGACACCGAAGGAGCCTCCTTGATGAAGAGGGGAGAGCATGGCGAGTAGACTCAGGTGTCTCCCCCCCTCCCCCGGGGCCAAGGCGTGCAGCTGACCGGTCCTTCCCTTCCAGAGGCATTGATGCACCGGAAGGTCGCCAAACCCACCCACTCCGTGGACATTGACACACACACACACACCCCGGACGACGGCTGAAGTCGAGGAACCGTTTCTGTACCCATCTCAAGCTCTGACCCTTTCTGGTCAAAAACAGTCTGATTGGCTCAACCTTTTGAGTGGATGTTAAAATATTGCTCCTATTCCATGTGCCTTCGCGATCCTGAATTGTGCCACCCTCGACTACGAGTGAGGAAAGAAAGAACGGTCTTTAGGAATACAGAAACATCCCCCCCTTTTTCCCTCTGCAGGGAATGGGGTGGGGCATGCAGGGGGGTATGTGGCTCGCTGGCTTTGTGCCGATGGCCGGCTCATGGCCACGGCAAGTTGTGCAGGAGAGACTGACTGTCGTGTGACGCACCCCTGGCCAGCCGGCTGTGGAGGAGGTGGTTTGGAGGTCAGGCAGGCGAGGAGCTGCCTCTGCCCTGCTCGGCCAAAGGCCTGGGGCTCCGGCTGCCCCCCCCCCCCCGTTTGCCCTCCCGTTTGCCTCATCCCCCTGGGAAGCCTCTTTCTCTTTGCACTCCTCAAGGTTCTTGAGAACTGCCCTGTCACCTGCGATTAAGGCACGGTCTGTCGGTCGCTGCAGCCGAGCACAAAATAAGGAGGGAGGTGGCGCGCCCAGGATGGGGAAGGCGAGAGGAACGCCAAGGGGTAAACAAGGCCACTCCTCTGCCCGCAGAGGCCTTCCCGACGGCTCGGCCAGCTTTCGGCAACCAGGCCGGGGCAGGATGGGCAGTCGAGTCCCACCCTCTGAAGGGCGCCGGAGCAGGGAAGGCTGGCTGGAAGAAAGCCGAGAAACAGACGACATCCGCTAAACGTGATTTGGGCACCGAGGCTGGCAGGAGGGAAGTGGGAAGGTGGTAGCCATGCATCCTAGGACAGGGGAACGACCCAAGCCGCCCCTGCTCTTCTGGGCTACTCTCTTGACGTTCCTGCCAGACTTGGCGGTGCCTTGGGAGAGCCGCGAGGGCGCGTCGGAGCTGATGGGGTCCTCTCCAGCTTTCTGCCTGCCGCCTTCTTCCTGAGAGACGGTCCTGCAAGTCATGCACCACAAAAACCCACCCCCTGCCACCCCAGACCTTCTGGGTGGCACTTGTGCCCATTCCAGCATCACGGCTTTCAAAGAATCTGGGATATTTGGGAAGGGCAAGAAAAATGGAAGCAGGGCGGAAATGTGCTGAATGGGGCCCAGAGGGTGAAGCCGACCCCGAGAGGCAGGCACAGGGTCTGGGTGGAGAGATCTCGCCTTGCCGCCTGTTGGGGCTAGCTGGGGGGGGGGCACACCAGCTTCCTCCAGATCCTCCTCCTCTTCCTAGGACTTTCCTCTTGACCGCCCTGGAGATTGGGAAACTGACATGCATTTGGGAGGAGAAGGATGAGCACTTAAGTCTTTACCTTCAAACTTTATCCTGCAATTTCAAGGCGACACAAAACAACAACAGCACAAGCGGCCTAGATAGAAAAAAAACAATTGCACTCCATTTAAGTTCCCTGCTAAACCCTGAACTTAGCGGGAGACCCCTACCCACTCCCACCACCCCCACCCCAAAAAACATCCAGAGTTTGACATGGTTGGAATTACTGCAACCTCATACGGTGCCTTGAGCCGGTCTGGCTGGGAGGGACCCTTTTGGACTGGGGTGACTGTCAATCAGTCCTGAAATAACCAGTTGCTCATTTCCTGCCCCTGATTTCAAAGAGAGCCAAGCCTCTGCACTTAATCGTCTTTCCCCCTCTCTTTTTAGTGTGCTGGCGGTTGGTGTTATGGAGTTAGCATTTAGTGTGCAGTTATCAGAATGGTGTCTGCAAGAGTCTGCTGGAAGCAGACAGCAGTGAGTTTGTTAATGTAAACAGTCAATTTTGTACATGATGCTGTTTTTGTTTAGCTATCCAGCTGTGAGTAAATGAAGCCTTTTTATTCTTTCTCTTACCAATGTCTCAGAGTGACTTTTTGGAACTGCAAGTGCCAGTTGATGGGACAATAATGGGCAGTCTGCTCTGGAAAGAACTTAAGCTAATTCTGCTCTGCAAGTCCTTAGCACTTCTACTGTGCAGCTAGAGGTTTTTGATCTGAAATTCAAAAGAAGACATCTCTCTTACCTCAACATGTGGAGGCATTTCCTCTGAGCTCCCATACCATTTTTGTCCATATCTTTATTTTTTTACCATGGGACAAGGCCATTTATGTGTGATGAAACCTCACATTAATAAATTCCGCTTCCTTTAGAGTAAACCACCGAAGCCTCCAGGTGGCCACCAAAGCCCAGCAAGTCTGACCGGGTTCCCTTTCCTTCCCACTGGGCTCCAGCCATCTCCAAGGGCAAAGGGTTTCTCTGCCTTATCAGCTCCTTATCTGGAGGTGTCAGGCCTTGAACCCATGTCCTTCTGCAAGCAGAGTCCACGTTTCTGCTGTGAGCTACGACTCCTCGCCCAGGTCCGTGGGGCTGCAGAGCAGAAATGCGTGAGCTGCTCAGGGGCAGTGGCAGGACCCGTCAACCACGTCACAGGGATGATTCCCCGCATTTGATCTCCCTGCTCCTGGCGGACTTGAGGTTCTACTACAGCCTCTGTGTCCAACTCTGGTGCGGAGCGGGGCCTCCAGCCTCTCCTGGTGTCCCTCCCAGAGTTTCTGGGGGAAGGCCACTGAGTTGGGCAACTGAGATGGCAATGTGGCCGGATTCTCTGTGGCATGGAGTTTCTCAAACGCGGCTGCAGACCTTGGTCCGTGAACTTGCCCCCGGTCAATCTGAAAGGCCTCTTGCCGCTCAAGTCCCGCCAGAAAGGATGGGCTAGGAGGAGAAAGCCAGGGGACGCTCGCGGGCGGCTGACAGGCGCTCAAAGAGGGACAGAGAAAGCCAGGCTGAGTTTGAAGCACTTTATTGTGACTATTTCCACCTTCTTTCCTTTCCTTTTGGGTGAAAAGGTGCAGAGGGGACGGGCAAGTGACGAGGGATGGAAGGGAAATGCGATCGGAAGCAGAGGAGACCAACCACAGACACCCACGCCAGAACGACACTGCTTAAAGGGTGCCAGTGAAGCGAGAAACGGGTACAGGATCCTGCTCCTCTGCTGGCCCTTTCCTGCTCTGGGGCAGCTGGACCCACAGAAGCCTAGGCAAAGGTTCCCCTGGAAGGTGGTTGTGGCTTCCATGAGCAGCAGATGCACAAGAGCAGGTTTAGCAGAAGCACCGGAGATGGGGTGAGAGCAAAGGGCCAAGAAAGAGCGCGTGGGATCGAAGGGGGCGGGAGGGGGATTCCCGTCTCCATCAAAACAAGGCTCCCAAACCCACCAGTCCCCCCCTCAAAGCCCTCTTGCTTTGCTGACCCTCGTGTGGGAGATCCAGTGTCACGGGTGAACATGTGCATGAACAGAGAGTTAAGAGTTGAGTGTATGTGGGGGGGGGACTGGAGGCATCGGCTCCCCCCTTCCTGCCCTCCTGCTCCCGCACAAGCCAAGATGCAATTTCACTTCCGTGTCACGAGGACCCTACTCGGAGCTCCCAGGATCTAAGGTGGCATAAAAGATGTTGAAGTCAAGAGATAAAATCAATATTTCACCATTGTCTACTGCCTCTCCCCCCCCCCACACACCTCTGGACAAAATCAAGGTGTGTTTGTTCTCCTGACTTACAGTTTCTCCCTCCTTCTAAATATTGTTTTCTTTGTCGGCAAACTGGGGGGTTTCCCAGAGCCTGCTCCGTCGCACCTGTTGTGATGCTCTCCTTTGGGCTTCATAAATATCATCTCTCTCTCTCTCTCTCTCTCTCTCTCACACACACACACACACACACACCCTGGGCAAGGGACTGAAAAGGGATCGGTCTCTGCATCAAGTGGAGCCCCAACCGGCATGACTCCTGCAAACGACTCCACACCCCTCATTTATTCTGTTCCATCTGTCCGAAGAGAAGTCCTCAGAGCTAAACACCTGACCCTTGAGCCTGGGACACTCATCCCTTCCGTTCCGCCCCCCCCCCCAATACAGAAGACTATCTGGCTTGGCAGCCAATATTTTCAAGCTGGGCTCCATAAGGACTAGAAACATGTTATGGCAGGATTTGGAGAGGGAGGAAGTGAAGGACTTGCAGGATTTGCAGCTGGAACACCTTATCGGTTTGGTGGGGGATATCCTTGAGGGTGGGGGGCGGACCCTCACCCACACTTTGCTATTTTCCAAGCTGGCTAGGGTTGGCCGATAAGGTACAGGATGCTTTGAACTTAAAATGCCCCCCAAACGCCCAGCGGTCTGTGCCTGAAGACGGAACCCAACAAGACCCATGAGAACGGCAGCCCACGGGTGTTCGGAAAGCCGCTTGCTGCCAACCCCTTGCTGGGGCGCTTCTCCAAAACCGCCTACCCCGTGGGGTGCGTGCATGTGTGCCTGCGTGCATGTGTGCCCAGGCTGCACACCTTTGTGCCCCGGGTTCTGAAGGTGGCCACCCAGCATTGCCTGCCCTCCTACAAGCCCCCCCCCTCAGGACAGTGTGTGTGGCTACTTCAGCCGTGGTGGCTAAAACTAGGCACGTCTGGAACCGCACATGCAAAGTGGCTAGACTTGTGTGAGGCCCCCGCGGGGCGACAAGACCCTCTTGGAGAACCCTCTCCTCCTAGGAACGCGGCTTCCCCCTCCACCCCCTCCTGCCGCCACAGCCGTCGCGCCACCGCCACCTCCTTCCTCCTCCTCGGGGGGGGAAGGGGACCTCAGACGGCTTGGCCCATGATGAGCACACTCATGATGAAGACCATGACGAAAAACACCCACATGAAGAAGCGGTCGGTCACCTTGGCCACTTTCTTCCACTCCCCCGTCCGTTTCGAGGCCGCCTTCTGGTCGCGGAAGCAGCTGGCGATGAACTCCACGTTCTGGAGGATGCGGCTGTGGTGGCACACGCAACGGGCCGGGGCGCAGCCGGGCAGCTCCGCTCTCTTCTCGCCGGCACGGCTGCACTCCGGGTCCATGTAGGGCCCAGCCTCACCCCAGTCGTCCGGCTGCCTCGAGGGGCTGCCCCCGCCCAGGCCCTGCGACGACGGAGATACGGGCGGCGGCGGCGGTGGCTCTTCCTCTGGAGGAGACGCTCCGCTCTGGCCTCGGGGCCTCTCCTTGGCCCCACCGTTGGCCACCTGGGCCTTGGGGAGGGGGTCGGGATCCTGCTGTGGGCTCCGGCAGCTTTCGCCCACTTCGTAGACCAGGAAGAGGCGGGCCATGTAGTGCAGGATGACCTTCTTGGCCCACCGGGGGACGGGCTTGGCGGCGGGGCCGCAGTGGTGGATGTTCATGATGAAGATGGTCAAGGCGGTGGAGGCCGTGATCATGGTCATGGTGGCGATGTAGTACTTCCCTGGAGGCGGGGGGGGCGGAAGGGAGGGAAGCAAGGGTAAAGCTTTCATCAGTTGGGGGGGATGGGCACTGCCAATGCTGGAGGATGCTGGGAGTTGTAGTCCACACTTGGTCTGCGTGTGCCCCTTACAGTCTCACCTCTTAGGTACCAACAGAAGACGCCACTCTGCCTCAACAGGTCGGTCAAGCTACTCAGCGGATACCAGGATAGGACGGGACTGGCAAACCCACGTCCTCCCTCCTGGTGGGACAGCCCCCCAAATGGCCAAAGGACCCACAAGACGGCCCCCTTTTCCTGGGCTTTGGGCTACAGAACGTTTTCTGGAACTCCCAGCCAGGAGACACACCGGGGGGGGGGAGGCTTTCTGGAGGCCATACGTGGCATGAATTTACAGAAGCCACGGCTGGAAGAGAAAGGAATGGCCACGAGGCTGCTCGGAGCAAGGATCAGCCCCCCCCTCCCTGTGGTCAGTGGCAGTTCCTCCCACAGCCTTGGTGTCAAAGGCCACGGGCTGCTCTTCCGCAGAGAACCAGTGGCAACCAGCAAGAGCGCCACGGTGTTTATGGCGATTCCTGTGCCATTGGACTGGGACCGGGGAGAGGGAGATCCCGGTTCCCTTGAGCCAGGGAAGGCGTCGGGTGACCCTGGGCGAGTGACACTCCCTCGGCCTGGTCTACCTTACAGGGTCGCTCTGAGGCCAAAAGGCACACATTGCCTTCCGTTCTCCGGAGGAAAGGTGTGATCAAAATGCAATGAAGCGAATCAGTTCGGTAAAAGGCAGAGCCCTTTCCTGATGATCCTGCTTGAACCTTCCCCCCCCCCGCCACTCCCTCACAGGGATGACCCAGAAACGGCCTCCTCAGAAACGCGCTTACCAATGAGGGGCACGTTTTCCGAAGGGGGCATGCTCTCGGCCACCATCAGCTGGAAGACCGTCAGGGCCAGCAGGACCGTCACTCCCAGGGAGACCTTCTCTCCGGAGTCGGCCGGGAGGTAGAAGCCGAGCGGGGCCAAGGAGGAGATCATGATGCAGGGCAGGAGGAGGTTGAAGACGTAGAAGGAGGCCCGCCGCTGGAGCAGCAGCGTGTAGGTGACGTCCGGGTAGGGCTCCGAGCAGCAGCCGTAGACGATGACGTTGCGCTTGGCCGGCATTCCTAAGACCTCCCACTCGACGTTCTCCACAAAGTCGGTGAGGTCGGCCGTGTCCTGCTTGTTCCAAATGTCGATCTGGTTGCCGTTGTACGTCCAGGAGCCGAAGGTCAGCCGGCACTGCTGCCGGTCGAAGGGGAAGTAGGAGACGTCCACCTTGCAAGAACTCTTGGTGATGGCCGGAGAGTCCCACATGATCTGACCATCATAGCGGATCACCACGTTGGTCTCCATGGAGCCGGTGAACTGGTCGTCGGCACTGGAGGGGCAAGATAAGAGAGAGAGAGAGAGAGGTCCTTCAGGTCCTTGGCCCACCCCAGGAAGAAGCCCTGCATGATGGGTGGGAGGAGGGCACCCTTGGCTTTCAGCTGGGGTGTCAGGAGAGCCGGACAACGTCCGGCAAGGCTGTTGGGGGGCCAGGGAACTTGCCTTCTTCCTGCCCCAGACCTTTTCCCGCCTGTGGCAGAGCCCCAAAGGGGACTCACCCCCCCCAAAAAAGGCAAGGTGTGTATAAAGGTAAACTGGGTGAGTGTCAGAAGCATGGAATCCTACGAAGGTTCCTCCCCCTGCTTGCCAGCAAAGATGCAGCACCAGCCAAGTAAATGACGGCTCTCCTTTTCAAGGTGCCCATCCTCGCTCTGCCTCTGTGGCCCTCCTTGCCCTGGCTGTTCATGGCACCTTTACAGGACGCTCAGTTTCAACCCTCCTTTCAAATGTTGAAAAATCCCAGCCACAGAAGCAGGGCTCAGGGCGGCCCAGAGGGATGAGCCTGGGCCTCCCTCCCCCCCTTAAAATATTTTTACCCTGCTTTTCTCCCCAAAAGGACCCCTGTTCTCTGCTAGACTCCATCCAGTCCTAAATCAAGGGAACATTCGGCAGGTGGGCTTTGAAGCAAAAGAATGACCTCAGCCTCTTAAAAGGTCGCCACAGGGACGGACAAAGCCGACTGGCACAAAGAAAGATTGTGGTGGAATTGCTGGGTCACTGGGAGGTTTTGACAGTGGCTCCTGAAGAAAATACTGCTTTATGCCACCTGGCTTGGCCTTTCCCTCCCCCCCTCTCTAGTGGAGGCAGACAGGGGCTGGGTGTTCTCCCCTCTTTTCCCCAGCCCCTGGCCCCCTCATGTCACCTCTGGTGGCCCTCTGTGCTTCCTTCCACCAGGCGCTGCTCCCCCTGCCTGCCTGCCTGCCTGCCTGCCTAGCAGAAACCCTCCCTCCTCCCCTCCTGGCAGGGTCTTCTCCTTGGCCCCTCTTTCAGCCTTGAGGACCCATCCCTGGGGAAAGCAAAACGTCTTCTGCACCTCCCCCCCTCCCCACAGCAGCCCTGCAAGGCCGGGGAGACTGAGCACCTGTGACTGGATGCCCTCCTCAACCCCCAAGGGGGGACCAGCGCCCCGAGGGGGCCTCAGGGTCTGGCCTGGATTGGAAGTTGGCCAGTCCGGCTCCGGGTCCAGTGCTCTCCCCACTGCCCCACACGCCCCCCCATGGAAGAGGAGGCTCTTCTTGCCCACCTCTCTCTCCTCTCCCACCCACCCCGACAGACCCACTTGTTATAGAGGACAATGTCCGGCCTCCAGACGTAGCTGCTGGGGATGTGGATGCTGTCAATGCCGTCGTAGGCCTCCCGCTCCCAGCTCAGGTAGGCGTCCGTCCACACCTGGCGGATCCAGAGGTAAGCGGTCAGGATCTGATTCCTCTCGTCCTGAAAGGCCAGGAAGAAGCCCTTGGAGGTATCTGGCTGCCACCGCACTGGACAGGGGTGGGGGTTTGAAAAGAGGAAGAGCCGGCGTGGCGCCCTGGATGGCTCTGGAGGAAGGGAACCCGCTCCCACCTTCCACTCTCCCTAAACAGCTGCAAATCCGAACAGCAGGCAGCCGGGCTCCTCCTCGCCATGGGCACGACCCCAAGAAGCCCACGATCTTCTCTGCAACCCCTCCTTTATCCCGGGGACTTTTTAGGTCGCCTTCCAGTGCCGGCTGCTTTCTGGGGGGTTGGGGGGGTTTCGCCTCCGGTCACCTCCCTCCCCCTGGCCATGCCATACCCCTTACCATGTCAATGATCTGGGAGAGGGTGACCTGAAGAGTAACATTCAGGGTTCGGTCTGTGTCCTCCGCTGGTCTCAAAGCACTGGAGTAGTTGGCAAACAAGTTATTGAGCAGCTTGTAGGCAAACCTGCCTTGTGCCCCAGAGCAGCCTGGAGGAGGAAAGGGCAGGTTTCAAGAGGGCAAGCCGAGGATGGCAAGGGCGGCAGAAGGAGGCTCCAGAAGGCTTAAGGAGCGTCCCCCCCCCCGCTAGCTCTCTCTCTCTCTCTTCCTCCCTCCCTCCGAGGAGGCTCCAGAAGGCTTAGCTCTCTCTCTTTCTCTTTCTCTCTCTCTCTTCCTTCCTTCCTTCCCCACACATATATAGGGTGCAGGCAGAGGTTCTGGTGGCCCGCATAGGGTGTGTGCGCCAAAACTTGGTCTGCCACTCATTGGGGGATTCTGTGCCAACGAGGATCCATCACGTAGCCCAGGGACGGCCCTGACTCCCTCAGAGGGGCAGCCAAGGCAGGGGAAAGGGCCGCGTGGGAGAGGGGAAGGGAGGGGAGGGGAGGGGGGGGACTCTTTGGCCTGAGCCCTCCGTGCCTGTTCCGGTCGCGCTACTGCAGCAGCCGAGAAGCCGCCCGGCGCAGGCACGCGCGCCAGGGAAGCCCGCCCGGCCGCCCACCGCCAGCGCCAGAGGCAGGAACACTCTCAGAAGCCGCGCTTTGTGCCCCCCCCTCGCACCGCCGCCCCTCGTGCCTTCCGGCCAAGGGCGGCCAAGGGCTGGGTTGAGCCCTCCGTGCCTGTTCCGGTCGCGCTACTGCAGCAGCCGAGAAGCCGCCCGGCGCAGGCACGCGCGCCAGGGAAGCCCGCCCGGCCGCCCACCGCCAGCGCCAGAGGCAGGAACACTCTCAGAAGCCGCGCTTTGTGCCCCCCCCTCGCACCGCCGCCCCTCGTGCCTTCCGGCCAAGGGCGGCCAAGGGCTGGGTGCCCGTACCGTAGT